ATTTTTGTATGTTATGATTTTAATACTTAATTGTTTTTTTGTGTACTTTGTCGTTTTAAACTTTATAAAAATAATTACTATGAGTTTTTTTCATAATATTTGTTCTTACTTTCATAGTTGAATATTAACATAACAATTAGTGAATCTTTAAAATGATTAATTAAACATAAGAAATTTTCTAATATTTTTTGTCAAAAAATTTTAAAACTTCTAAAATTTCCGCCCTAATACTCTCTGCTACTTTGCTTTTTTTGAAAAATTTTAGATTGTCATAACTACATAACTTTTGTAGAGAATAGAATTAGCCTAAAATATTTAATTGAATTTTAATAACTCATTCTTTTATAAAGTTCAAAATTAAAACTTTACCCTAACCTTAAAATTTTTTATTGAGTCAAATACATTTATTTTATTTTGTTATTACTATACTAATTTTTTTTATATATTTTTGAGGTTATTACATGTTGCATTTTTTTTTTTTACTTTTTTTTTACAAATATAATTAGGAAACCACTAATTACTAAAAATTTCAAAAAGCGGTACATTTTTCATTTAACTATAACTAAGTTTACAATTATTTTTACATTTTCAACTTTAAAATAATGGGTAAATATTTTACATATAAATTTAATAAATTTAATCGAGGTTTAAAATATTAGCCCCTCATATTAAATCCTGGCTATGCCACTGTTTTTGGCATTAATTGGGCAGATCATTCTGGTCGGGAGAAGCAGCAGCAAACGCGGTGGTGGTGGAGGCAGATGCATTCAAGGAAACAGACGTTATCTACAGAGCCCTCAGCTCCAGAGGACACCACAATGACATGCTTCCAACTGCTGAATTGGTACATCAATCATCCACGGACGCTGCATCCTCCCTGCTCGTAACTGCTCTAAATGAAGGCCGGGATGTGATCATGGACGGTACCTTGTCATGGGAGCCTTTTGTCGAGCAGACAATCGCCATGGCACGGAACGTTCATAGGAAGCGCTACCGAATGGGGGTTGGATACAAGGTGGCTAAAGATGGCACCATAACGGAAAACTATTGGGAACAAGTAGAGGAGGATGATCAAGAAGAGAAGGAAAATGGGGAGATAGCCAACAGGAAACCTTACAGAGTAGAGCTGGTTGGAGTTGTATGTGATCCTTATTTAGCTGTTGTGCGGGGAATAAGGTATAAGGTTTGACAAATTAAAGTAAATTTCTAGGGTCACTAGAAAGAGTAATTTCCATGAAAATTTTGAATGGATTGGTTGCTTCTTGAATTTGTGCAGGAGAGCAATATTAGTGAGAAGAGCAGTGAGGGTGAATTCCCAATTGAAATCCCACAAGAGGTTTGCAAATGCATTTCCAAAATATTGTCAATTGGTTGACAATGCCAGGCTCTATTGCACCAATTCAGTAGGAGGCCCACCTAAGGTAAATCTGTTCCAACTGTC